GTGGGAATGCAACAAAGGTGGTAACTGAAAAATGGTATGTCACTTTTTTTAGTGCCGCTATAACTTTGAACAGTCACTAAATGAGGACTATCTGTTTAGTAAATGTGCATTCTTTGATTCTCCTACTAGTAGGACTTAGATGTCATCAATTCCTGTAATCTATTGCCTGCAATATAAATTTTCTGCTACAGTTATAAAACCGGTTTTGGTAACCAGTTCAGATGTTTGATTTCAAGAACACTCATGCAAGTCAGTGCATGCATTCGATCTTTATTAGATATTCAATGTAATAAAACTTCCACAGACTGGGAAAAAAAGAGGAAAACTATGGAAAATGATATAAAATCACAAATGGAAAGGAGCTAATACCTTTAGAACTGCATACTTCGAGTTTGAGCATACATTTTACATAGTATAATAGGTAGATTTCAAAGTATTGACAGTCTTATTTGCTGATACATGTCTTAAACACATCCTGCTGGGTTCTATAAAACAAAAGTTTATTTAATATTCAAAGTTTAAAATGAAGTCACAAAACGGCTTAAAATGAATATCGTAATTATAAAAAGCAATTAAGAAATATAAAAATGTTAAAAGAGGCAGTAATTATATACTCGCAATAACATGTATTTGTAAATATGTCACCAATATTGATAACAAACAAGGAACCATACATAGACTGTCGATAATAGAATTGCTAGTTTCTTAATGGTTTTTTTCTTCTTCTTCTTTCTGTGTGTTGTGTATGTGTTTGTTTGACATTTTAGTTGTATAATCAATAAAGTTTGTTTTTTAAAAAAAGAAATATAAAAATGTCAGGATGATGGCCAAACTATCAACTGGCCTAATTGAATGATGGAATTGCTTCTTCTGCTGCAACATAGACCATTATCACACAAGGCGGCAAACTGCACCCTGTTTATTCTGTTACATTGAAAAGAGACTTACTTTCAGAACTATTCACAAATAGTGAAACCCCAATACTGGTAGTCCTCAACTTACGACCACAATTGAGCCCAAGATTTCTGTTGAATTTTGCCTATTTTTATGACCTTTCCGGCTACAATTGTTAAGTAAATCACTGCGGTTTTTAAGTCAGTCACGTGGTTGTTAAGGGAATCTGCTCTCCCCATTGACTTTGCTTGTCAGAAGGTCGCAAAAGGCGATCAAGTTAACCCAGGATTTTACAACTGTTATAAAGAGTCAGTTGCCAAGCATCTGAATTTTGATCATGTGACCATGGGGATGCAATAACGGTTGTATGAAAAATGCTCATAAGTCACTTTTTTCAGTGTCATTGTAACTTTGAACGATCACTAAATGAATGGTTGTAAGTCAAGGACTGCCAGTACACAAATTGGTGTAGCTTTTATACACTTTCGGAAAACAAAGGCACATGATATCAAGCAACAAGTATAAAAGTATTCACAGTGAAGTTGTCCCTCTCGGAAATTGAGTTCATTACTAAAATATTACAGCCCTCCCCTTCTGTTCCTAATAGATAAGTTTGATACTTAAATATGCAAAACTTTCTAGCTAATTTATATGCAAAAGGAAAAGGACATTAGACCTGAACCAACTGCTGGCCTGGTTCAAATTCTTTGACAAGTCTATCAGACAGCCTTCCAGGCATTTTAGTCAAGGATGTGAGGCCCAAAAATGAGAGGCCCAAGACAGAAATATGAAAAAGTTTCAACAAAAGGGTTTTCCTGGTTAAAGATAGCTGTAACAATCTTAGAAGGACACATTGTTTTGACCCTGTATGTAATATTAAATTAACATCTTTTTATTAACAATGCAGGATAGGTTTTGAATGGCAGCTAAGAAGAGCAAAACATCCAAAAAGAGAAGCCACCTTCTGGTTGGGGACTCAAGTGTAAGGGATATAAATTTAGGAAAGGATACTGAGGTTTTGAAAGAAGTCAGGTGTCTACCAGGTGCTACTGCTAGCAGAGACAAGAAGCGTATTCTTCAGATAGTCAAGAATCCCAGCAAGGACTGTGATGTTGATGCTATTATACATCTTGGTACAAATGATCTGTCCCAGAAGGATGTACTTTCTGTTCAGAAAGACTTCCAGAGCTTGGAATGGGAACTTAGTAATACGGGCTGCAGGCTTATCTTTTCAGAGGTTCTACCAGTCTACAAGGAACAAAAAAGAAAAGGGAAGCATGTAGCAGAGTTTAATGTGTGGCTAAAAGAGTGGTGTAAAAGGGAAGGCTTTGGTTTTATTAATCATGATATCGGCAGCTGGTCCAATGAAAAACTGTACAAAAGAGATGGTTTGCATCCATCAAAGAAAGAGAATGAGTTACTTGGCATTAAATTCACAGATTTCCTGGATAAACATTTAAACTGAACAGTGAGGACAGAGAATTAATGGATTCAGAACATTTCTGTCCCCAGCAACCTAAAATTAATAAGGCTAGCAGTGCATGTAAAATAGATGTTTGTGCAGGTAAGATTATCAACCTTGATGCCAACCAAAACCAAGCATTTAATAGTGAGCATCATACCATGTGCACTAATCAAACAGGAGGCAAGAAAGTAGGGGCAGGCAGGCACAACACAGGTTATGTAGACAGTAAACACAGTGTCAAGCATAAAGATCTCAAGTGCCTATATACAAATGCACAAAGTCTGGGGAACAAACAGGGTGAACTCAAACTACGAATACATGAAGGTAAATATGATATAGTTGGAATAATAGAAACTTGGTGGGATGAAACCCATGGTTGGAACATATTGGTAGAAGGATACAAACTATTCAAAAAAACCAGAAAAGAGGAGGTGAAGTTGCACTGTATGTAAAGGACCACTATATTGCTACAAAAATGCATGAAACCAAAGATGAAAACCTCCTAGAATGCATATGGGTCAATATATATATAAAAAAAGAATGACATGGTCATAGGTGTACATTATAGGCCACCCAATCAAGCAGAAAAAATAGATGTCCTTTTTGCCAGCCAACTAACAAACATATGCAGAAAACACACAACAGTAATAATGGGAGATATCAATTATCCTGATATCAATTGGAAAAGTAATTCTGCACCAAGTGAGAAATCAAATAAGTTCTTAACCAACCTAGCTGACAACTTTGTTGTCCAAAAGGTAGAGGGTGAAATTAGATGGACAGCCATACTGGACTTAATTCTTACAAACAGAGAAGTGATAGAGGGAGTTGAAACTGCAGGAACCTTGGGTGAGAGTGACCATGTCATACTAGAATTCAACATAACACAAACACAAGCAACAGAACATAATGACACCAGAGTCTTGGATTTTAAAAGAGCTGATTTCAATAAACTCAGAGCTTGAGGAAGATTCCATGGATAAAAATCCTAAAGGGGAAAACAACTCAAGAATCTTAGGAAACTCTAAAAAGTATGATCATAGAAGCCCAGACCAGCACAATATCACTGAGAAAGAAAAACAAGATATCCAAGAAGAAACCAGCATGGCAAAGATCTCTGGCAAATTGAAAAAGGACAAGGAATTCCAACCCCTCCCACATCCAACCAGCATGTAAAAAATTCCGATGCTCACAGAGAAAGAGAGAGAGAGAGAGAGAGATGATGATACATGCAGGTTTAGATTAACATTGCATATTCACTCCTGGCTTCAATATTACTTTGCATTATCACATATCCAAATTAACAATCTTTATACAGATGGGTTTCAGAACTTCATCTTTTACTTTTCTGCCTTCTGCACAGATGTGGATTTGAGGCTGTACAGATGCAGAGAAATAACTCAACAAGACGTCCATAACAAATTACATTTATTGGTTCATCAGATATCCTCATAACTCACGTTTGTGATGAAGTTCTTCTGTAATGACCAATCCTTTGTATATCTGCCTTGTAGTAAAAGATGGTTATCTCCTAACCCATCTCGTAGCAATAGAAAGAAGCTGCCATGAATTAGAACAGTGCTTCCCAAACTTTTTCAGTCCACTGCCCCCTTGGTGCTACAGACTCATCCTCGGTGCCCCCCACCCAGGGGTGGGATTCAAATTTCTGTGGGCCTGACCTATTTTGAGAGCGTGGCTTGCTGGTCACATGACTGGGTGGGCGTGGCTTGCTGGTCACGTAACTAGCTGGTGCGGCTTGCTGGCTGGGCGTGGCTTGCTGGTCACATGACCGGGTAGGTGTGGTTTGGTAGTCATGTGACTGGGTGGGCGTGGCCAGGCAGCTGGCAAACCAAATACAAGTGATCCTCACTTAATGGCCGGTTGATTAGCAAGTGTTCTAATTTATGACTGGCCTCCCCAGAGCTACTTGATCTGTTTTTGGAGTTTTGACAGCAATGCGCACGCACACATACACACACACACACACACTCCCTCCTAACCCTACTGGAGCAGGTCATTGCACTAGAATCAGCAAAGCATCTCTGATTAGATTCTAGTAGTGAATAGAATCTAATCAGAGATGCTTTGCCGATTCTTGTTGATTTGTTTTATATGTATTTCTTTATTTTATATTGCTGAATTGCATTGACATGTGTGCCCCTTCTTGTGCACAGCCCAGAAGCTTTTGTGACTCTTTGCAGCAAAAATTACTGACCCCTGGCTTTGCTCTACTTTTGAAACGTGCCGCCACTGCCACGTTCTAAGTGTTGGCCCTGCAGGTGCATCCCATTAAGCCCACTGCACTGGAGGGACCTGCCCAAGCAAGTCTGAGCGAAGCAGTGCACCAAGTCATTGGGGTGAGCCTGAGAGAGGGAAAGAGAGAGAGAGAAAGAGAGAAAGAAGAAAAGAAAGAGAAAAGGGAAAGAATGATAAAGGGGCAGACAAAGAAAGGGGGGATGGAAGGAAGGGACAGAAAAAACAACCCAGGTTTCTGGCTTCATCTTATGGCCATTTGAGAACCCATACCCAATTACACTTTTAGGATTGTCTTAAAGAACATTTTAAAATGTCTATCCTGGTTTATATATTTTCAGCCCAAATAGCTGTTAGGTGACTTACATTCCTAACAGAACATATATAGAACATATATAGTAGCCATCCAGTCAAAGTCGCTGTTCCTGCACACCCTCCGACTCTTCTGTAGATATGACTCCACTCCTGTCCTCTCCCATGT